GTTTCAAATCACTTAGATCTATCTATATCTATCTATCTATCTATCTATCTATCTATCTATCTATCTATCTATCTATCATCTGTCTGTCTGTTGTCTGCTTGTCTGTCAATCTATCTGGGTGTGTGTATGTAAAAATTGTAAAATAATAATATTAGTACACGATTTCACAGTCTTTTAGGGTGTTTGCAATTGGATTTACTGTTACCACCAAAATTGTCATAAATTTGAGGAATGCGAGGTATTATACAAGAGAGTTAAACTAAGGCTTGAATTCTTTGCTTCAGAAGCTGCTTCATGTAGATTAAATAAAATCCTGCAGGTGCTTGAAAAGTTTTTAAAAACAATGAGAATTTAAACTTGGAGATATGTATGTAAAAAGATAAATTATTGGGCAAGATGGAAGTACTGATTTGAGAATATTAACTGAAAAATGTGAGTGCAGGGGATATTGCATAATAATCTAGCACATGCACATGAAGAGAGTTCTCAAAAACATGTCACTGTATTGGAGAGAAAATGCTAAGAATAATTTTCCCATTGAACTAAAAGTTCAGTTTTTGGTTTAATATTTCTCATGGATTTAGGATAAAAATAATTGACCTTCCTAATGGTTTATGTTTAAATATGACTTTAACAGTCATTCTATCAGGATGTATATTTTTTATTATTGGAGTTTAGAATACGGTCGTGTCATTTATGTGAAAAAAACAATCAGTGAATCAAAAGCTATAGTATAGTGTAGCAAATTTTGAATTGGGGTTCTGGCATTGATTTCATTAAATTTTCCTTTATTGAAATGAAAAAATAACATAAGCAGGTATGCATTTGGATAATCAAAAAGGGAGAGAATCTCAGTTTATGCATTTAAGCAATTTTCAGTAATACATTACTGCAAAATTTATAATACCATGAATTCTAGATCAGTACTCTAAATGAGGCAATTAAACCTTTGTGTAAGTACTTATGTCTTTCTTCTAAAAAATACTGGTCACTAATTTTCTGTTTTATATTTGTAAAAAGAAAGCTTTATAGGTTAATTTTACTCTGGTTAACCTTAACTTGTCAACAGATTATTGAAGATTTGTAAGACTATTTACTAATCCATAAAAAATGAGGTTACCATAGTAACTAGTATGTCTTTAATACTCTGCTTATGTAACCTCTGAGATTCAGAATAGTTTTAATCTGAACTCTTCTATCAGCTACACTGATTTCAGATGCTCTATTGCACTTTGTACTATAAAGGAAAATGTTTTCTTTACTGATTATGCAAGCCTGAGTATTTTTGGACAATTTGTTTATAATATAGTCCAAGTGCCTTGGATGTTTGGGAAATTTTAAAAGCGGAAATAATTTAAAAGCACTTTCAAAAGACTTTGGGAATAGCAAAGAGGTGGTGGTGGAATATTTGTTTAAGTCACTGTGGACTTAGGGTTTCAATTTTCAGAAATGCCTTGAAGTCAAAAGGATCTTTTGATGCATATGTTATTCTGAAAAATTCTGCTATAGGGAGATTACATCTTGTTATTGGGAGACTATCTTATTAACTCAGATCATGTAAGAAAACATAAATCTTCTTTACTTCCTAATAAGTTCTGCTACAAATAATGTATACATGAGTTTTTGCAAGGAATGAGTGGAATTGAGGTTCTGGAAATGTAACACACTCCGCATATGGCTCATTTTCTTGCTGTTGAGACTTTCCACATGCTGTTGCCTCTATTTGGAATGATTTCATCATTTCTGCACACACACCTCCATCCCTATCATGCCCCTAATATTTCTTGGTTTGCTTTTGTTTGTTCTTTACATCTTATCTGAGATATCATATTCTCTGGGAATATTGTTATGTTAAGACTTTTGTACATGCTCGTATAATATCTCTTGAAGATAGTTTCATGCCTAATCGTAATGGTTGGTTCACTTGTCTGTCATTCACTTGCTCAGATGTCCTGAAGGAAAAGGCCAAGGTATTATGACTTGGCCTTGGTGCTGTTGGCTTGAAGACCTATTTAGTGCCTTCATTCATAGTAGGTTTCCAATAAATGTTATGCCAAGTAGCTCTATTAGTTTCCTATGGCTGCCATAACAAAATACCATGAACTGGAAAGCTTAAAACACAGAAATCTATTTTCTCCAGTTCTGGAGGCGAAGTGTCTGAAAACAAGGTGTTAGAGTTGGTTCCTGCTAGAGGCTCTCGGGGAGAATCTGTTCCATGCTTTCCTCCTAGCATCCTTGCAGTTTCTGGCAATCCTTGGTATCCCTTGGTTTGCACTCCCCACATCACTAATCAATCTCTGACTCTGTCTTCACATAACATTCTCTCCTGTGTCTTTGTTTGTCTCTTTTCTTCTCATAAGGACAGCAATTATATTGGATGAGGTCCACCCTATGACCTTATCTTAACTGTGTCTCCAGAGACCCTATTTCCAGCTAAGATCACATTTACAGGTATCAGAGTTTAGGATACCTTTTAGGGGACAAAATGCAGCTTGCAACAGTAACCACCGAGTGCATTTTGCCTTTAGGACTGGATTGATACACAACTTCAATCAGGGGCAGGTTAGTCACTCAGTTGCTAACTAGTTCATTGTTTACTCATTTTACTTAACAGGATGACATTCACAGAATGAAATGTACTTGGTCTGATTATTTCAATTGTCTTGACATCCAGGCCTGATAACTCCTTAGAGAATTCTATTTACTGATAGTAGACTCTGTGATTTAGTCAACAAATGCATGAACTAGCTTGCTATATGTATACAACTGCAGCAGTTCTAAAAAGAATAAGTTTATTTGTAGCAATTTCAGAAAGAACTAGGCCCAAGGAACTGTGTTGTATTCAGGGTTGTTAATTCTTATGTGTAACTCAAAGTCTTACATTTTTAATTTAGGTCATCTTTATTTGGCACCCACTGCAAAGCAGGGGGAGAGGAGGCAACAGAAAAGTTATTTCTTGGCATTTAGAAACTAGTTGATTAGCATGCAAATTTTATTCAAAGTAATACAAAATATGCATCTATTATTTTTGGTTCATCAGATTGAGTTATTTTTAATTTTAATAAGATGCAACAATAATTAAGTGACTTAAAATATATAATTTAATACTGAACTAGTTTTGCAGTAGCGATGATTGTCAGGTTGCACATGAAGTTCCAGGTACATGATCGGTTACAGGTTCTAACAGGCAGTAGACAGAGAATGAGACCTGGAAACCGGCCCACACTGGTGAGGACTAGAGAAGTTTGCAGAGTTCCAGGGAGAGGATAGCAAATAAACTCGAGCTAGCACTAGGTAAGAGAGGGATTTTTAAACATTTGTGTGTGTGTGTGTGTCTTTGTGTGTGTGTGTGTTTCCTTATTGAATATGGTTTTAGGTTAAAAGGTTAATGTATTTTTGGCTCTAATGGGGTGTGAATATGGACAGGTGGGAATATACATGCATGTTGATAGGTCTGTACATTTAGTACATAAATGGATATTGCAGCTACTGGTAGATGCTTTACAACTTCCAAAAGGTATATGTCCTACTTATCTAAATTAATAAGATGCCACTGTTTTAGAATATAAAAAATTATCACAAGGGGCTTTCTTATTTTTGTTATTCCACTAAGCCAGCAGGGGGAAGTCACACATTACTTTTTGGTGGGCTTCAGAAATATTTCTTCAGACTTTTTCTTAAAAAGCTCCACGTTTTTGGTAAAAAAAAGTAAATAATTTAAAATAGAGTGCTTGTAGTTATGATTCTCATAAGTATAGTAGTATCAATTCAAAAAAGTAACCTTCAATTTTAGTTTTTTTTAACTTTTCTAAATAAAAAATAAATGAAACACCTCAATATTACTGGCAAAACTATTAAATAATTATTTTGTTGTTGAGATATTAATAGTGTTTCCAAGTGGCTAATTTTATTGTAACATCAGAAATGTAATCATTAAACTTAAATGACTTAAACTTAAATCTCTTGGTCAATATTTAGTGCTAAAAGTAAATTATTTTTGTATATGCCATTGTATTCTTCATTTTTAAAAAATTTTTTGCAGTTAAAAACATCTGAGGGGGAAAAAAAACCATTTTAACTTTCAATATACAAACAAGAATAGATTTTTGCCAACATAAAACACAGTATGGGGACTCTATGGCTATTGTTTCCGAGAATATAAGAGATGATTGCATCACACTGTGTATTCTGTTGGAAATATACTGTAATGCTTATATGGCTAATAATGGAATGATCTAAGTCAATACATTTTGCAGTTTCAAGTGACACAGAAGAATTACACCATTATTCTTGGTATTTTGGTTTCTGTATTAAGTTAATCACGTTCGCTGTTTCATCATTATCATTCACTCATTTTGTAACATTTGAGCGTCTTCATTTAATGTTATTGTATAGTTTCTGTTTACTACAGCTGGTTCCAATAGACCCAAATGACAATTTCAGAGCTATGTATAAAAGACCACAAAAAATAAATATTCAAAATGGAAACATCTTACTTCCAGAAAGTATAAAATTTAAGTATGAGTAAGGTGTCAAAAGTTATGAAAACTGGAATGCATTCGTCTTATTACATGTAAATTCTTGTACTTGAAATATGTGTGTTTTTTAAAATAAATCATTAGGTAGCATTTATCTCAAAAGTCATAAATTCTTAATCATTATGATTGTTCTATGTTGCCAATTATATGTAAACATTAAATTAAAGAGAAAACAAATAGAAAATAATGATCACATAGTTAAAAAATATGCCAAAATAAAAAATGTTATAAAAAAGATTCAGTTCAAGAACAAAAGGCATTAAAATAGTACGTACTATAAAGACAAAACCACATACTTTATATAATGCATATTTTATAGAATTTTAATTATACTACACACACACCCCCACACACACCCATACACACACTCACACACCCACAAACACACTTCCACTAAAATGTGGAGGAAAAAATTTACAGTGGGAGGGGAGGCAGAACAAAAAGGTGACAAGATATCTATACCTCTGAATCTGTATCTGCCATCACCAAGACTTCTTTCAGTGTTAAACCTCAAAGTGTATCCAGGACCAGCCTTCAGAAGACTATTTTTTCCAAAGTGCTGTTGAATTAAAATCACAAATGGCTAATGAAATAGGAATGAAATAATTATTTTCTCTCATTTGCTAGAGAAAATACTGAGCTGTGAGCTTTTCTTTTCACTACTGGGGTTAAAATTTTAAGCATTCTATTCTTAAAGGAGTGTCTTTTTTCTAAAGATTCATGATCAGCAGCTGAATTTTAAAGCTGTGAGAACACAGCAATTATATGTTATGCCTCGTGCAAACCTGACCTAGATTACTTTCACTGACTAAAAATTATTAAAAAATCGATAATTTTATTGGCAAAAATGATACATAGAATAAGTAGTAATCTTAAGAACAGAACAAGGCATCCAGACATACTGAAAAATTGGGGGCAGAGCAATTAGAAATAAATTAGTCCTTTTTTCTAAGGAGATTATATATTCATTAACAGTAAGGTTTATGACTTATTTCTATTTCCCCACCTGCTCTTCCAGGAATAACTGCATGTAGTAGTTACTAAATACATGTTTTTTAAATGATCAGGTTTCCTTTTAATTCATGTAACATTTTAATCTATAAATGTAATCACAGAAAATCACCCCATTTTTAGCTCTACTGATTGGAGATGAGAATTAATATTATAAAAAGAGTGATTTGACATATGGTAGACCTAAGTGCATGAATTTTATACTCTCAGGTATCATTTAAATTTCCTGTCATTTTATGTTGTTATTTGTAATATCTTTCTGTTAACATGCCTCATGGTAATTTAGGAGCAGTAACATAATGTTACTAAAAAAATGCTAGGGCTCTTGGCTTAAAATGTTCACTTGCATTTAATATTACAGAAATTTACATGTTGGGATTAAGTGGCCTGAAATTCAAGTATGTAAGATAAAATGGAAATAATGCAACCTACTGCAATCATATTGTGGCAATATTCAGGCAGGGCACAGAGGAAAAACACAACAGGTTTTGAAACCAATCAAATTAATCACAGCCTAAGCTGGGCAAGAGAGAGGGAATGATTGCTATTCATCAGGTCATGCTGTGATGACGAAGGAAACAGACCTGATCATTTGATTACTGGGCTGTAGATACAGAATTATGGAAACCTTTCCCAAATAACTAACTTCTGGGAATGTGTGCAAGTATTTCTATGGCTTGGGAGTAGGACTTGAATCGCTCTTATAATTCGTAGTATGTTTTAAGGTGAGCACCTCAGACACAACAAAAACTGTTCAAATCTGAGATCAAACAATAATTCATGATTCACCAAAAACAATAAGGAAAAAGGAGTGAATGGTATGAAACTGATAAACAGAGTATCAGAATAGTAGTCCTTGGGGTATTATGAGCCAGAAATCTATAAATGCAATTATAGGCTTCCACTTTTCATTTTAGTGTCATGTTAACCCCTTAAAACCTTTTTTTGTGTGTTCAATAGAAACAGTGTACCTAATAGTCATCCAACTCAGAGACTCTACTTGAGGGTGGTAATTTGAGAGCCTGGAATGCCAGCTGAGGAAAGACATGGGAAGACAGCCAAGATCAGCACTGCCTTTCTGTCAGCTCCTACTTGATTTTCCTTGCGTCAGTGGTGCTATCTAAGGAGACTGCTAAATGGAGTGATGGATGTATGTGTTAATAATGCCTTTCTCTGTATAATGAAGTGATGGCTGGTAATACTGGCCTCTGAGGATTTTTGAATCCAGATCTCGTAACATATACAGGTCTTGGATTACCGTGAGGCAGAAAGACAGTGTATCTCTTTGAAATTAAGGTGAACTTGACTAAAATTTCAGATCTAACATTTTCTAGCTGTATGACTTTGGATACCTTGCTTATTCTCTTTTCTTCACTTTCTTCGTTTATAAAAGGGAGATGTTACATGTCCATTTATATGGTTCATATGACTTCCATGTCATATGGCTGCTGTAAAGAGAAAATGAAATGATATATGTGAACTGCTTACTGGAATACTGACAGGTAGAAGATGCTTATTTAATAGCTGTTTCTATGGCCACAAGATGCTCTTCACTATTTAAAAGCATCATCATTTGGAAATGAATACTATTATTTAAACTTGGCAGATATCAAATGCATTTTCATACTTTCTGTTTGAAAAATATGATGTAAAATAAGTTAGTACTAAGGAAATATTGGTAGTTCACACAGTCATTTGCAATAGTCTCCAAAGGCTGAATACTTTGGGGCATCAAATTATGTAAGCCTACATAAGTACTTCTGCATTTTAACGAGTGAAGCTGATACTATAACTTTTCAGTGTAATGATGCATTTTCATGGCTCCTGTCTGTGTAAAAGCCAAGCGTTCAAAAAGAAATGCATTAAATATATGAATGCTTTTGGTCTCCACTTTCTTCTTGCTATGACAGACAAAACAACGTGTGAAAGGAGAGCTTATTATTTCAAAGAGATAATACCTTAAGTTTAAATGGCAGTTCTTTCTTCCTTCCTTCCTTCCTTCCTTCCTTCCTTCCTTCCTTCCTTCCTTCCTTCCTTCCTTCCTTCCTTCTTTCTCTCTCTCTCTTTCTTTCTTTCTTTCCTTGGATTTCCTTTTACAGGAAGAGTTAAACACCTATTACAGGTTGAATTTTGACCTCTTCAAATTCATATGTTGAAGTCTTAACTCTCAGCATCTCAGAATGTGAACTTATTAGAACTTCGGTTGTTGCAGATGTAATTAGTTAATATAAGGTCACATTGGAGTATAGTGGGCACTAATTCAATAAGACTACTGTTCTTATAAAAAGGGAAAATGTAGACACAGACATCCATAAAGAGAGAACACCAGTGACCACGAAGATGGAGATTACGGTGATGCATCTAGAGGCCAAGGAAGGCCAGTGGTCACCAGCAAACCTCCAGAAGCCAGGAGAGGCATAGAATAGATTCTCTCTCACAGCTCTTGGAAGGAATCAACCTGGCTGAAACAATACCGTGAACTTCTACCCTCCAGAAGTGTGAGACAACAAAATTCTGTCGTTTAAACCATCAGTTTGTGGTACTGCATCACAGTAGCCCTAATGAACTAACACCAGATAATTAATTCGAACATGAATTCTGGGAAACTGTGTGTAAACTTGTATTTGGCTTCAAAAGTTATTGCTACGAAATAAGTTACCACAATTAAGCAGCTTAAAAGGACACACATAGTTTCTATAGGTCAAGAGTCCAGGCACAGGTTCTCACAAGGCTGCAATGAAGATATTAGCCAGGCTACATTCTTGTTTGAAGGCTTGGTCTAGGGAAGAATCTACGTCTGAGCCCATTCAGGTTGTTGGCAGAATTATTTTCCTTGTGGTTGCTTGACGAGTTTCCCATTTTTTCCCCTAATTGTTGCCGGGGTGTTAATCTCTGCTGCTAGAGGCTGTCTGCTATTCCTTACTTGATACCTGTTTCATAGTCAGTTCAGCATATTGACTGTTCCCTTTTTCAGGCTTCTCCTACTCTGTTCTACTAAGTGCAAGCCTCCAGTAGAGCCTTGTGTAATGTAAGGTAATGTTAGTAACATTTCATCACCTTTGCCATATTTTATCGGTGAGATAAATTCACAGGTTTCACGAACATTCAAAGGGAGATTAACTACACAAGGCTGTAACTCATTAGGAGTCACTATAGGGTGGACTAATAAAAAATGTTTTTTTTTGTAACAAAAAAGCACCATCAGAATTCACATGTGCACATGCTCAGGAACACACACACACACGCGCACGAGAAGCAGATCAGCTGTTCAATTAGAAAATCATCATAGCATAACAAAGCCTGCAACTCCATCATAATCAAGTTCTAAAGACAGGGCTATAGACTTATATTTACCTGAAGAAGATTAACCATTACAGACCAAGCCAAGGTACTCTGCGATGTCCACTTTCTCTAAGACTCTTCAGGTTTTCAATATTTCCCAAGCTATGATTAAACATATTATCATCTTTTATACACATAAAAAAGATACATTTAAACACCTCTGATCTATACCTGAAATAGGAAGGAAATGTCTATAGTTATACAGGAAAAAAATGTTTAAATTCTAAGAATCAAAAGAAGGAAAAATAAAACTGACCAGAATTATTGGTGTATTTTTGATTAACTGGTTCTTTCAAAGAGATATATAACTAAATATAGTTAATAAAGGGCTAAAATAGTAATATTATAGATAAATTTTAAAAATTTTAATTAAACATAATTGGAAAAGCATTTTCCAAGTCCCAAATCTATTTATTCCAAAAAAGTTTGCATATTGTGATTCAGTTATAATTCAGACATATACTACAAGGTAAATTGCATTTTTGTTAATACCATGTTTTTCTAGGTATACAGTTAATAGATAAAAGGGAAAATTCAAATTTTAACTCAAACTTACATATTATCTGAGTTCACATTTAAATCATGGAGTGTATTCTCTTGTATCTTTACATTTGGAAAGTGTTTTTTTGAGGTTATATATTGACAGATTAAGCAGAAATTCTGCAGTTAAAATTAAAACATACGTACCATATAAAAAGGTCAGTCAATGAGGATTGCTTTCTCAATTTTAAGTCCCCAGATAGCCATCAGTCAGCCAGCAGAAAAATTCCTTTTGAAGCCATGGAATCTCCAGTTTGTATCTCTGACACTATGTTGAGATTCGACAGATGGAAGCCCAGCAGCAGACATGCAAAGTGGATGCCAAATGAGGCACATATACCTAGCAGAGTGGTGTCCTACACAGGTGGTCATCTCCTCCTTTCCAGAAACATTAACAGGACTCACTCCAAACCTGACTATGCGGTAGCGATACTGACACGTTCTTCAGTCATTGGTGAATGTCAGTGGGCTCTTGGCTCTCTGCATAAGGAACTTTAGCATGCTCTCTGCTCTGTACATATGTCCAAGTTGGCAGTCAATTGGCATGGTTGCTGAAGTGTCTCTATCTGTCAGAAATCCTCCTCACCTTTGGGACACAGATAGACGATATGAGTATGTCAGCAAGAATGCCATCATTGGCTGAGAAAGGATGTCCAGGGGAAAAAAAAATTGGAGATATTTTAGAAGCAATTTTATAAATTATCTCTATCAGTTAAATCAAGGATGTATTAATCTTCTCTAATACAGGCAAAATCCAATTAAAATAGAAAAATCTATG